CGAATCCTGGACGGAGGGTTTAACTATCATATCGAACCTCTATCAGTAGAAACCTGAACCCGTACCCTTCCCTTCTCTTGTTTTTAGTGTGGGAGGCAGAGACGCTATCGGTTGGCCATCTAGTAAAAAAAAAGGGGGGGGGGCCTAATCCACCATTTTAAATTAGTTTTAATAGTCATAGTATTGGCCCATCTGACACCCATTATGTCTAATTGGATAAAACGGTGTTTAATTGAATATGATCGAGCTGATTAGTTTGTTTTTTATGTATATTAGATGGGAAGGCCAATCTCTGCTCCTCTCAGACTGGGGAACTCGGGTTTAAATGTTGCTAGTAAAGGTCAAGAATTATTATGTATGTACCAGTATTAATATAGTCATCAAACATCAATATCATTCATCAATCACAACTACACGTCACTTAGCAAGCATCAGTGACAAGTCAACCACCATCTAATAATATCAACATTCACTTGGGGTTTTTCATCATCAACGTTATAGTTCACATTATCAGGTAAAATAACTATGAACCTCTGAAGAGATTTGTTCCAACACACCATCTACTACACCTACACTTCCACCCGTCCACACCCTACCTTCCTCCTTCACTCCCCAGGCCTCCTCACCTCCCACACACCCCCATCTCCCTCCTCCACACCCCCTCCCCCACACACGGCCATTAACATGCGTCAGGTGTACACGAGAGAGGCCTAGGTAGTTATCCTGAGGCACTCTACCTACAGATGACCTCCACATACCGTAACCCTGACCCACCCTCCCTACTTCCTCCTCACCTTAAGCCCCCCTACTCTCTCTAACACACCTCCTACACACACACACACACACCTGGTCTTCCTCCCTAAATGCCACACACGTAAACACCTAGAAAAGTGCAAAAGAGGCATGCAAGATTATTCTCTCCCCTTCCTACTCCACATATCAAGAAGCGCTCAACACACTGACCCTTTCGACTCTCACTGACCATCACCACGACCTCATCTGCAAATTTGGTAAGAAGCTTCTACACCATCCCCGACACCGGCCCCTACTACCACCTGAGATCCCTGTCCGAGAATTGCTGTTCGACACCACAACCGCATCCAGCCCATACGTGCACGAACTGATCGCTATAAGAACAGCCCAGTCCCAACCATTGTAAAAATTATCAATAACATGTAATAAATCAGTGTATTCACTCCCAGTAAACACTGCTCCTTACACTGTCACTATGTTGAAATGAACTGTAGTTTGAGCTGATCCCCATCTAAGTTATTATATGTCTTATTTGTGTCACTTATGTTACTTGTATATTATTTGTAATTCGTAACCCATTCCCCAAATATGTAACTGTATATTTTCAGCCTTCTGGCTGCCAAGCTCTTTCAATAAACCGTTAATTATTATTATTATTATTATTACACACACACACACACACACACACACACACACACACGCACTCTCTCTAACGCTAACCTAACTTAACCAAGCTTAACTCTCGCTCGGTAGCTATAGGGTGGTCAATCATCAGGTTAAATAATCTGAGAGGTGGTGTGTGGTGAGAGGTGGTGTGTGGTGAGAGGTGGTGTGTGGTGAGAGGTGGTGTGTGGTGAGAGGTGGTGTGTGGTGAGAGGTGGTGTGTGGTGAGAGGTGGTGTGTGGTGAGAGGTGGTGTGTGGTGAGAGGTGGTGTGTGGTGAGAGGTGGTGTGTGGTGGTGTGTGGTGAGAGGTGGTGTGTGGTGATAGGTGGTATGTGGTGAGAGGTAGTGAGAGGTGAGAGGTGGTGTGTGGTGAGGGGTGGTGTGTGGTGTGTGGTGAGAGGTGGTGTGTGGTGTGTGGTGAGAGCCCATCATCTCTCTCCCTTCTCTCCATACATAGAGATTAACAGACTGACAGCTAAGACAGATAAAGATAAATGAACAGATAGATTATAACGATAGATGGAGAGAGACAGACAGAGATAAGATATAGACAGACAGAGACAGACAGAGACAGACGCTCTTCTGTCCTCCTAAACATTTCTCCAGCCGAGTCACAACAGGAAACAGAAATATTTTACTTGTGACTCTCAACATTTCTCTTCCTCCTCCTCCTCAACCTCCACCTCTCTTTTTCCCCTCCTCCTCCTCCTCCTCCTTCAACCCCTGTTTCACCTCACTCCTCCACCTCTTCCCTCTCCTCTTCTTCTTCTTCGTTATGTAGGTGACCCTGGCCACAAACCACCACCACCACCATCACCATCATCACCACACATCACCAGTATCATCATCATCACCACCATCATTAACATCACGACCAGCACCAGTACCATCACCACCCCTACCATCATCACCCCTACAAGCATCATCATCATCACCACCACCACACATCACCACCATCATCATCATCATCATCAACACTACTACCATCACCATTACCCTCACCACCACCATAATCACCCTCATCATCACCACCACACATCACCACGACCACCATCATCATCACCACCACCACCACCATCATCAACACCACTACCACCACCACCACCACCACTAGCATTATCATCGTCGACAACAAAAGAAATTACACACAACTTAACACGGAACTTGACGTCATTATCCACGAATACAGCCGGATATGACCTAAAACAGCCGGGTAAAACCAAACAGAGCCGGATATAATTTAAGATGGCCGGGTATGACGAAGCACAACCAGACATGACTTCCCTGGATAGAATGTATTTGGAGACCGGGGTAGTGGAACACACTTGGGCATGACCTGACGTCGTATGTCCAAGCTGTATGCAGAGATCGTCCAGGATGACGGCGCCTTACGACAACAGCAGCAATCAAGAGGTGACGATGGACTAAAGCATTGACTCCAACCACAGCACATACGAGCAGAGGAGAAGCAGAGTATGAATGCATCACTTCACCCACCATACACCAATTCGCTTCTTTCAAGTCCTCCCTTGGTCTAGAATTAAGGAGATTTTATATTTTTCTACTTTATGCGGTCAAGGTGTGTGGAAAGCGGCCGTTAAGAGGCGGACCCTGCAGTACCCACACATCAAACCCTGGTAAGCCCACCCAGGGAGGGATTCCCCACTGTGAGGGTGTGGGACAGGACGGTCAAGGGTCTCGCCGACACTCTTATACAGAGGGCGAACACAGATCCGTGTACCCTGCCCCTACACACCATCCAGAGCGATAACACCCCAAGCAGTGGGCCGGCTCTAATCCAGGGCCGGAAGGGCGGAAACTCAAGATGGAACATAAAAAGAACATCTGGAATATGTCTGAAAATGATGCTGTACAAAGGGAACTCAGATGGGGCTAGAAAAACTCATCTGGAATATGATAGAAACTGATGCAAGAGGAAATTTACATTATAAACGAGGAGGAAGTGAGAATTCCGAAGGTGTGGAGACACGACCTACAGGGTGCGGTATTGAAGAAAGAAAAGGTGCAATGTGAAGAGAGAAGACATAAAACGTGCTGTGCTGACGTCAAAAGAGTCGACGATGAAGAGCTGGATCATCAAAAGAACCAACCCACCACTGCTGCCGTACTGCCAGTATCCCTGATACCAGCTGGTGGAGAATGTGAGCTGTGCTGGGCCACACTACTGTATTGCTGTTGTATCTGTATAATGAGAGAAAAAAATACCCTTGCATGTGGAAGTAGGGGCATTTGTATTTTTTTGTATATTTTTAAGTATTTAATTCTGTGACATCCGATAACATTTACTTGAGTGTGTTTTTTTTTTTTTTTTTCATTTATTAAACTTGTCCACTCCAGGTCTCCACATAGTTGAATTGTTGGCAATACAAAACTTCGGGCAATTTGTAGTTTCGTCCAACCACGGCTCTCGAGTTGAGCCAATGTGTTTTTTCGGTGGTTTAGACAATCTTAAGAGACTTCTATGACGTTCCCTCGCAAATGACTTAAATATACCGGGGGGATCCAGGGGGGTGGAGGGAAACGTCATAGAAGATAAGTGTCTTAAAATCGTCTAAACCACCAGAAAAACACATTGCACGACTCGTGATCCGCGCGTGCTTGGTTAAAACTACAAATTGACCAAACTTTCAACCATTTTTTTCTGTTTTTCATGGGCATTACATAATAAAACAACTCAGGGCCGTAGAAGATTCATCCGATTCGCTATTTCCGGTGGATGTTTACCTCCGAGCCTAATTAAGGTGGCGCGAGACGATTCAGTCACCTTTGTTGGTTCATAACTAGTAGCAACGACAAGTAGTACAGGGCGGTGTGGCCATGTCAGTAATAAGGTAAATGTAATTGCTGGACAATGCTTACAGATCTTTAGACTGAATATCGTGAGAGTAGCAGGACTAGGCTGGTAGTCGCTAATCAGCGTTGGGATCAACATTCAAGTTTGTCCTACTGTCTACCGATTAATTATTCAGCTGCAATTACTGTTGTCAGGAACGTCAACCTTATTATCACCGAAACAAGTTACAGTCCTATACGTAAATATTTACGTCAACTAAATTACATAAGGATTTATATTTTAGAAATTAAATTTAAAGTCCCCTAATGTTTTACCGTTTACTTGCACGTCACTTGTCTAAACAAAATCATGTATACTGTGTCCATGAGAGAACTCGTATCGCTTCAACTGTAAAAACAGGCTCTAGTGGGCAGAATGTGTTCTGTTTATGCATTCGTATGCGGTGTACAGTATGTCTGGTGTTTATATGTTTTGTACATCTGTGGACTAGTTATGTGAACTGTGTATATGCGTGTTTAGTACTTTTGTGTATGCACGGTATGAACATTATCTAAATAAACGATAAATATCCTTGTTCAACAATTCTCTTCAGGCTTTCGTAGCTGCTGGCGTAGGCTGTCTTTAAGTGCCTAACACATTAATTTGTTCATTTAATTTCCTTTGGTATTTTTTTAATACACTATATCTGTTGATCAATTTGACTTTCTATATATTTCAAACCTCTGCCGAAAAATTGGCTACTTGTAAGGTGTAAATTTAATACATGAATAGAAATACTTATATTTATTCTTTAGCTTATTTGACAATACATTCTAAACAAGAATTCTACACCTTATAATAATATAGCAGGAGTCAGGGTTTATGTGTTAGACTCACACTTAATACTGGTCAATGTCCAAAATGCATAAATGGGATTTGTACATTAACTGCCATACGAGGCAGGAGGTAGGAGTCATAGCTGTGTCCTTGTCGGTGAGCTGTGTGGTAATGGTGAATGAACTGTCATGATGCAGGTTTGATGGCCTGGCAATGAAGCTTCTTTGGCGGGTGTTGGTTCGTCACTGGATGTAACCTTCGCAACCTGGAGGTGTAAGGGGGACTCTTAGTGAAGTCAGTTGGGTACATGGATGGACGAGGTTAGCGTGTCGATGATCTCCTTAGCGTATTGGGAAGCTGTTTCCCTAGTCATTTTGTGGGCGTAGTAGTCGAGCGAGTAGCAAAAGCGGCCCCGGAAGGTCTGCAGTGTGTGTTGGCAGAGTGTGGGCATAAAGTGGCAGGACACAGAGCGAAAAACCTTTGAGACTTCCACCTCCTCCCCAGTGCCAGGAAAGGTGCTGTTAAGGTTGCCCATGTTGGTCACAGTGTAATGGTTATCGCTGGCAGAAGGCAGTCCTAGCTTAGACATCAAGTAGTTGTGACGAATGATAATGCTGAGACGCTCGCTCATTGGCAGAAGTTTAATGGCTCGTTTGGTCTCGGTCAGGTGGTAATTCAAGATGCCATGGATGCCTCGTGCATACTCCCAAAATGCGTTAAGGTCACTTCTCTTTGTTGGGAAAATTACATCCAATAAAGATATATGGCATCCAAATCCATCTTGCCGTAAGTGCTTTGGCCAGTATCTCCTCATGTTAATAGCTTGTTGAGAACACAGATTAGTTTCATCCAAATTACTGTTCTTGTCCAACATCATTTTGTACATAGCGAGATTGGCTGCTGCAGTGAATGCCGAGTTTAGAGTCACACCTTCCATCTTGCACCGACTTATTAGTTTGCGAGTGACATTTTCGTCAAGTTCATTCTGCTGCAGTACGTGAGTGCCCGCTTCCATCTCTACTGGCATGCGATAGTAATTTATAAAGTTCCACACTGGAAACCCATGTGTGAGGATAATATTGTAGAGACGACTCAAGAAGATACCCATTACAAACCAAATTGATGCTAAGTTGTTACCGAGGTCGTCTTGAAGAGGCATTGCAAATGTTCCCTCTTGGCACATGTCAATATCTTTCCCCTGCACCAGGTCATTAAGCACTTTGAGAAACACTTGACAAAACTTCATGTTCGTGCTTCCGTCACTGATATTATGGTGGAAGCCAAAAATGCACACGTATTTGTATTTCAAATTGTGGTTATTGTCTCGCACACACTCCTCATTGGGGTCCAGGGTAACGAAGCGTGCAAACCATAGTGGACCCTCCTGCATGTGGTAACGACGGCGAACCAACAACTGAATTGTAGCCTCCACATCGTCAGTTGCGAGTTCCTCCACATCCACCACCTCCCTCGTCATCTCTCGCCACCAGACGTCATCATCTAGATGGTCCAGGTGCAACCGCAGGTTCGGCATTTTTCTGTGGAAGAATTTTAACATAATTAATCTATTGGATGTTTAAAATTAGAGATCAACGGAGATAGATAATTGCTTAAAACTTGGAGGAATGAAAATTACAAAGCTTGAACGACTATAGCTGAAAAGTGAGATGCAGTAAGCTAGCATGAGGTGTGAATGGAGTCATAGTAGAGATGTTAAAAATATAAAGTGAAAAAATGGGTAGAATGGATAAGAACATAAACATTATGCGAGACAATGAAAAACCCAACACGCACCCGACTTGTGACTACTGAAGTGAACTGTCTCGTGAACTATTTGATAATTTTAAAGATGAACTTGAATATAAGCTGATGTAGTTTAGTTTCGATTTTCTTTGAAAACTTCTTATAGTTTTTGTTGATTTCTAGGCAGTCAGTGACGCCATGTTGCATTTTAATGGATTTTTGTGTCGAACCATAGATTCATTACTCCACTTCTCTGTTCTGTCTCTAATTTTGTTAAAGACAGCGAGTTTGAACATTGGTAATTGGGAACTGTTGTAAATGAGGATTTTGAGCGATACCATGTGAAGAAACATAAACTTATCGGTTGAGGATTTGTTATATGGCTAAAAAAATTACCATGTGATAGCGTTGCCATAACATCACCTGAAGAATCTCCTCGTGCGTATACTCTGTTATGAATGAGACCATCTGGCGTAGTGATTACCTGATAGATTAAAACAATCATCTAACAAGTGTTATGTTGATATTTTTTTTAGTTTTTAAGTCCATCGACAACAGGTCAATGTGTTTAACTAGAAACTGAATAATGACGTTGAAGTAAGAAATAATTTCCAGTTCAATGTATTTTTTCCAATGGATAGTTCAGTTATTGAGTAATGGATAAAGGTACTTTGTAGGTGAGAGCTTAAGACATTTGGTGGTAACTTTAATAATACAGGTTTAAATTTGTTGTAAACGGTAAAAATCATTTATTAGTTGAGTAAAATGGGTGATCAGGTATCATTTGGCAGTACGTGTCAATATGCGATTTATTCTTAGAGAAAATCAGTAGCGGGAGGAATCTCAGTACCACAATCTATCCTAAGTTAGGCGTCGTTGTTGCAGCTTTTTTCGCTACTGATTTGTTGGTTGTGTCAACAAAATGGGCTGGCGGGCCAATTGGTTATTTAAATTCTAGGAACACGTTCCAGCACCCGTCATAAATTACTAAAGTGATTGGACACTTTTATACCTTTTTAGAGTAGCATTAAACATTCACAAAGTGCAGTATTGTTTAACAGTGAATCAGAATCACACCTAATGCTAAAATTATATTTGGAATAAAACATTTAGTGTTCAACAAAATTACCTGAACATAATGACGGAAGCTTGTTTTATATGTTCATAATCGAGTGGGATACGAGACTCAAGCCAGAGAGAGTACACGGTTGTCATGCAGCCGTAATCATGTGCTTGACTCATGAACCTCTCGGCGTACCCGAGGCGCCGCACCCAGCGCCCTGACGTACTGTAGTCTGTACCTGTCATAGTTGGCGACGCTTGGATGTCAGGAGGTATAGTGCTGGATGAATCCTCTAACATTAAATTGGTAGATTTGTTTGTATGGGTTTTATACTTAGTATTTGATTTGTAGGAGTGAGGAGAAATGACGGAAGGATGTGTGGAGCCGTTGCTGTTGTTCACCAAGTGCATCTTCTGGGCGCCATCCACCACACCTGCAACACAAAGGTAAAGGTAAAATCATCTACAACATTCTGTATTTTTGATAGTCTTTAAGTTTATATTTTATAAGGCACCAGAAAAATAACTTAATTTCTAAAACTAATCAACTAAACGTCTGCTATGAATGAAGTCTTCGAGTTAAGTCCTGGATTTCGGCCTCTTGCGTGACATGACAGTCGTAACCCAAACATGTGTTGTACGAGTTATTGTTTATCTTCGTTACGGTGTCAAGACCACAACGCAGTACAAGCACAATATACAATTATCGAACAAGCGAGTATGGTTAGGGAGATTTAGCCAAGTTATTGTTCATTAGCGCCACGAATAGGATTAATGACCAGTTGAAAATGCGTAATACAATGTGAAAAAAGTCTGCAATAACTTACTTGTAGCCAGTGAAAGGAATGAAGCCGTCTGACAACATTGTGAGACTGTGCTTCATATTGGACTTATATACTAGATGTTATTTAAACTTTTTCAAAAGAATGTGAGGGAGAGCCATACCGGTATACAGTATGAGGAAAAATATTTGAGAAACGCAAAACAGCTCGTAAGTGCACAATGCCCTCACTTTTGTCCCTTCAAGTTGTTTAAAGTACATCACAAATATGCAGTAAACAAAATTTGCATTATATGACGTAAGAAATAAACAAATTGGCGCTCGAGGGGATGATTTTTATGGCCGTTATAGAGAGGGGGGCGGGTAAGGTGGATGAAGAGCAGCGATGCGGAGGAGGCGATCGATGTCATTTAGATCAGCACGCTCAGTAGTCATCAACAAACACAAGTGCACCCGGATAACCTGCTGACATATACACGGTGGGCTTTGTGTAGGCTCTTCCTTAATGGCAAAACTCACGACTTTCTAAGACGACTGGACAAGCATATGGGCAGATTTGTTGAATATTATACCGTATATATGCAGTAAAATGTCGAGTCGGGTCACTTCACTGTCGGTTAATGTTATAGACGATCAATACATAATGAATACAGTACATATTTTGTAGTTGACTATGGGTGTTGGTTGTTAAAGATAGTGTCACAACATCCTGTCATCATATTCACTAATATTGATAAACACTGAATTTAGGGAAAAATAGTGACGTCAGAATTTATACTTCAGTTTGAGAAAAAGGCTGTTCAAAGGCTTTTTATGCCGTGGTAAGAACTGGTGTGTGGGTCAGAAAGCGTGGAGACACCAGAGAGAGGTTAGGGGGGCCTTTGAAATGTAGTGTTATAGGTGACTACTAAGAATAAGCTACACTGACAGGAATACAAATGAAGAAGTACTAAGATTAGCAAAAACTAAAGAAAAATGAGATACTTTGGTCATGTAATAGGGATGAGGGAATAATAACAGAAATATTAATGGGCAAAGTTGAGGGGTAGGAAAGCCAGGGGAAGGTAGAGACTGGGATGGATAAATTGAGATAGAAAACCTTGGTAAAAACAGCCCGAGAACGTTTCGAGTGGACTATGGTCGCCAACCCTCAGATTCTGTTTGACCATTCGTATGGGACATTTCCTTCATATTTAAATTTTCTATCAATCATAACCTCGGAATTATATCAACTTAGGCATTATTGTATTTTAAATTTTGTTTGTGTCTTATTGATCCTTCGTAATGTACAGTGTACAATTATAAAACTTCATGAACGTAGTAACGTATAACATTTGCACCAGCGTAATCATTGTCGAGAAATTTCCCTCACGGTTATCGAACTAAAAAGAGAGAAAGTAGATGGGAAAAATATTGGTTCTGATTTTGTTACATGACTATTTGCAACTGATGCAGGTGAAGGTGGAGTCAGACATGGTCAGGGGTGTGTGTGTGTTGGTCAGGTGATCCAGTCAGGCGTGGCTCCTGAGCGCTTCTGATAGGTCACTCGTCCGGCCAGCTGTGTTTGCTAGTCGATAGAAAGTCCAAACATTTTTGCAGCATAACTGGCCTCCTATGTTGCTCGAGCATGCCAAAGTCAGCTCCAAAAGTCATTTTACTTTATAAACTGAACGAATAGCATTTGGCTTAAGTGTATTGATGCATAATATTGTAGTAGCTAATTTGTAGGGAATTTTGAAGTCCAGTAATAATAATAAATTATTTTATCCGAACGTGGCAGAACACCATTAATCTTAGGCCTTGGACATTTTAAGTTACGTAATGCCTTCTCTTGCATTTTCGTTTCATATTTCGTTCACTGCTACAAAAGGCGGCGACGGTTTACAGCACACCAGAATTTCCACCGACGCGTTTGGATTCATGTCGACATGCTGAAATGTATATAAATTATTAAACAAAGTGCAGACCTTGACTTTGAATATCAGTGTCCTGTCACTTACCAACATCCTCCACTGTCTCACAACTCTGTCTTTGCTCTTGGACAACTTCAGCGAATCTTATTATGTTGCTCTTGGTATTTGTGAAGCTTTGTATTGATTGTGTAAGAGAAACTAATATTTTACTTTATTTCAGGGAGTACCGAGTGACGTTCTCTCAGCAGTGAAGTTTGGAACCTTCAGCAGACAGGGTTTACAGTGCCCTTTCTTAAAAGAGGTGCTTTACTCCTGTACTTGGACGACGCCTGCTGCCACTTTGATTTATTAAGCGTCCAACTGGAAGCCAGTAACACGTGAGCACAAGTAGACTTTAGTAAAAACTTTGCTGTAATTTCGTCTTACAATAATTGTTCCAGACTGTCACCGTGACTAGGATCAAATTGACCACACTGCATCAAATTAGGTAAAAGTGTCCCTATGGTCATCCTGAGACATGTAAGTATAAAAGTACATTTGTTCAAAATAAATTGGTGTATGCACTAACATTACCGACATCTCAGCCCCATGGTATAAAGTTTTCACACAATATCAAGTTTAAACACCCGCGAGGAAGTGTTTTCTACACGACCTGTGTTTACACGAGCTCCACCAAGTGCGTGAATTATTAACATTTAACTTTCATTCATGACGCGTTGGTGGATTCTCTCTTAAGTTAGATATTCTCTCACGATAGATGTATAGAGGCTGTACGTGACGTCACCCACCAGCTGACGTGCTACCATAACCATTTGTCCAAATAAATAATATTCAGTGTAACATCTGTTGTGGATAAGAACATTGTGTGCGTGTGTATGATCTGTTGTGGGAAGGAGCTTGGTGTGGGTAGGGGCTTGGTGTGGGTAGGAGCTGGGTGTGGGTAGGAACATCATCTTACGAGTACGTGTCGATTGATCATATTGCATAAATATTCTTTCTCAACCAACGGAACCGACCGGCATAAAAGTGGTTGCTGGAGGTTCCTGTTGAGAGGAGGACCAGGGTTAACCGGCCTCTCAGTGCCACCATGCCGGACAAGTAGCTAAAGCAACATTCAAGGCTGCCCACTGCCCTACCCCAGCACTTTCATCAGTTCACCAATCTTAAAGGTTATTATGAAAACCGAGTTAGTAGTCAATTTATTTTGAATTGCGATAAAAAATGATTAATTTTCCAGTTTTTTCTAGTTTGGTTGATATCTAGAAGTTTCTAGGTTTAGGTGCTATATGAACTGTGTGGTTGTACCAAGCTCCAGGCAAGGCTAAGTGACGGTGAGAGTCGACACCCATGACATCACTCTCCACAACATCCACTCCGCCAATTATAACTTGTTTTAAATCTTCGTCTCGCTCATATATAAAACATTATTCGGATATTTTAACCTATTTACAGTTACTTTGCTGACTTGTATTTAGAGATCACACGAAACATTTATTTTTAATTGACATCTTTTGGACGTAAAGTGTTAATGTATCCTGGAGAATAATAGTAATCATTATTATCAGACTAGGAACACATAGAAATGTATAGAAGTAATAATGTTCCTTAACTGTAAATTCAGAATAAAAAATAAATAAAATAAAAGCAGTTTAAGAAAGTTAGCTTCAAGGGTTAGTTGTGTTTTTCCAACGGTGACTATAATTATTGACCAACGGTATAAGGAAGGTAGTCCAGTATAGTAAACATTATCGCCACACTTGTTTCTGATGTTGGAACAGGTTTCAGACCACGTGAAGCTTAGGCACCCCATGTTACCAGGTTATTTCACCTTAAGATTAACCTCCCTAATGTTAACCTAATATACTGTAACCTTAACCTAACCTAATGTTAACCTAATCTCCTGTAACCTTAACCTAACCTAATGTTAACCTAATCTACTGTAACCTTAACCTAACCTCCGCCCGGTTCCAAGTAGCATTAAAGTGATTTAGTCAACGGGTGAAATAAAATGGGGTGGCTAATCGTCAGGTGATCCCAAGTTTCTGGTAACTAATATTTAAACAATTATTGATCAGTGACCTTGATGTGTCTGCTATGGAAGATAGATAAATTAGAAAGGGTAATACATATATTGATAAATTAGATAGAAACATTAGCTAGATAAAGATTTGCTCTAAAACAGGCACACAGATAGATAGATAGATAGATAGATAGATAGATTGATAGATAGATAGATAGATATGCTTTAAAACGTGGGCACAACTTAGATCCTCGTGTTGGAAAGGTTACGATAAATACTGATGACGCAGCGCTGTTGTTAGTTAGCTTCAAGATCAATATTGACCTTGCTTAGCTTATACAGGTATCGGGGCTTTTATTTCCAGGCCATTTTTGCCCAAGTGATGTGCTGAGGGCGGTCTTCTTCTTCTTCTTCTTCTTCTTATTATTATTATTATTATTGTTATTATTATTATTATTATTATTATTATTATTATTATTATTATTATTATTATTCAGCGCCATATCTATCCACTTTTAGAGAGATAATAACAATTAGAAAAACTGATAAATCATGTTTTTTTTTAATTATAACTCTTGACATATATTAATTATGCCCTTATTACTTACCTAACACATTAACTAAATCGTTTATTGGTTTTTTTTACTCTCATACAACGTTGAGAAGAAATATCAACCGTGGAGTTTATTTTTGATGTGTTGAGTTTTGAGCGTTACAGTA